AGTGGAAATCGAGGGCCCACGAGCCCAGTTGGCAAGTCAGCAGAAGTGAGTAATGGCTCCCTGCTTTGGAAGAGGAACATCAGACTGTCCCGACCTTATCAGCCCCTAGATCACTCATTCACATACCCTGTCTGGCCCTGAAGGTGGCTAGATTTTGGCCCTAATCTCTTCTACTAAAGCTTTCTCTGTGACCCACGCTCTACAGCACCCTCCTAAAATTCCTGCAAATCCTGCCCTCATGGATTGCTGTCACACTAAATTTTGGAATATGTCTTTATAGATGAAGCATCAGAACTTTCCTTCTTATTATTTTTGCATTATGACATAGAAAGATTATATAATTCCATACAAAATCTGAATTCATTATACACCAGAAGAAAATCTAGGTGAGTGTTTAAATGATCTCGAGGTGCTGAAAGAAAACTATTATGAAAACATAAAAGCCAGTAAATCAGAAAGAAGTAAATATAACTAATATGACTGACAAAAAGTTATTATCCCTAATTAAACTTCATTAAGGAAAATGAACCTTATAAAATAAGAGATAAATATACTTTCAAGTAATTCACAGAAGAAATACAAATAACCAAAGAACATATTAAAAGATAGCCCATTTTACCAGTAATCCAAAAGATATAAATCAAAATGCGATTCTCCTTTCATCTATCATATGTTAATTCATTCAGCAAACATTGTTGTTCCAAATACTATCATTGTGGCCAGTATTTTTTTAAATGGTAATAATTTTAGGATTCAGTAAGAGAAGTACCATCATAAACTGTGGAAAACAATTTTACAGTATGCATCAGGAACCATAAAATAGTTACTACCCTGTGACCCAGTAATTAAACTTCTTGGAATTTATCCTAGAGAAATAATCAGTGTGGCAGACAAAGATTAATGTATGAGGATGTCAATCATGGCATAATTTATAATATCAAATACATTAGAAACCTAAATGTCTAACAATAAGGAGTGATTACACAAATCATGGTACATTCAAATGAGGAACAATTATGTAGCATTAAAATTATGTTTTCAAAGACCATTTAGTGATATAGGAAAATGCTCATGAAAAATTTTCAAGCCTGCATTTTGAAAAGAATTAAATATAACCAATCAGAGTGACCCATTCTCTCTTGCCTTATGATCCAGGAGTTATTTTTGCTTCCTACAGCTTGCTATCTAATACTTCTCCCCAACCTGAAAAGCATATAACATTTCTCCATATGCTTCTTACTTCAGGTAGGCATTAAATGCAGGGTCTCAGACAGAATAACAGTAATTGCTTCAGGAGAGAATGAAACAATATGGTTTAATATACACTGGACATACACAAAGTACTGAACAGTGCTCTGGACTGTGTGTAGAGACTGTTTCTACAGAAAGCAAGAAAAGAATGTAAAAGACCAAGAGTAAAGCAGACAGACGGGGCAGAGGCATAAGGAAAATATGCAGAAGATAGAAAGTCAAAAAGTGCAATTAGTTGGATTTTAAGGAAATTCTCTGCACAACACTATAGTATTAGAAGTTAAGAAATTCCCTTTTTAATGTATTTATAGTTTTATGTAGATCAGACAAGACACTTACAAGAAGCATTATTTGTTTCTTGTAACACCAACCACAGGAAAGGCCAAAAGGGATGTCACAGCAGAAAAAGCAGAACTACCTTACTACCATGAAAAGAACAACAACAAAAATTGAAAGTCTGAGAGCACCAGAATAAACTGTCTGCACAAAAGACGATTATAGTAAAACAAAGAGGAAGTTGCATCTTGGTTTTGGAAGTACTGAACTGTGCAAAGCCAGAAACCAATTTGCACAGTTATTTGCCTGCAGGAGCCCAGTGATTGCATATCCACAACGAAAACGGTGGAAACTGGACTCTACCAAATCCTTATAGCACAGCTACCTGGCCACTTCTGAAGCAGTGCTTACAACCAACCAGTCCTTGTGAGTTTGTGGAGCACAATAGATTTATGAGGAACTTGGCAACAATCTTAGGGATTGGCCTCCTAAGAAACCAAATATGATATCCTAGCCTAGAGAAAGCCAAGGAGTCACTTGCAGAAAGATCAGCAGAGCACACTGGTCTCCCTTCTATGAGTAAAAGCTCGTAATTTTTCATGGAAAATTGGCGAAGGGGTTACCCCATAAATAATACATTTATATGGTGGCAAGGAAATGACTCCTTGTGTCCCTATGAAAGAATAAGCAAGCAATTGCTTAACTCTACACTGTCAGTTACATACAACTGGCCTACTTTCCTTCCATACCTGTGCCCTTTTTGGGTTCTAACAGGGACTCATGTGGACTCTTACTTAGTATTTAATCTTTTACAGTGTAATCACAAGGCTTAAAGTATTCAGCAATTCAGAATCTCCTTTTCTCTTTATTCTCTTTCGTTCTGATGTTTGTTCTCTTTCTTCTAGAGGCCTGGCTTTGTTTCTGTACTTCTGTATAGGACTTTCATTGCTCTACAAATCATTGCTTTTCCAACATTTTTCTTCTGGGAAGTTAAAAAAAAAAACAAAAAACCTCAATATATCCACCCCAAACATTTTCATATCATTGATTTCTCTTCCTTTCAACAAGTTGTTTTAACCCCTTGTAACATTTTTTTTACCACTTCTAAATTTCCACTTTTTGGACAATTCCACCATCCTCTTTGCATATGTCTATTCTCTTCAAGCACTGTAATAAACTCAAATTCATTAAAATAACTGGCCTTTATGCCATCTTCATTTTGAATTTATTTCATATACAGGTTGCTTTATTTTTTCTATCATCTTTCCATCTCTGAGCAGTGCTTGCATTCTTTACCCTCTTTGTCCATTCTTCTCAGCATGTAACAATATCCTTTTAAAAATTTGTATTCTGTACTCTGGTTTATTGCTGTTGTTGTTTTTGTTGTTGTTTGTTTGTTCTGAGACAGAGTCTTACTCTGTCACCCACTGGAGCACAGTGGAGCGATCTCGGCTCACTGCAACCTCCACCTTCCAGGTTCAAGCAATTCTTGTGCCTCAGCCACTCAAGTAGCTTGGATTACAGTCATGCGCCACCACACCCAACTCATTTTTGTATTTTTAGTAGAGATGAGGTTTCACCATGTTAGCCAGGCTGGTCTTGAACTCTTGACTTCAAGTGATCCACCCACCTCAGCCTCCCAAAGTGCTGGGATTACAGGTGTGAGCCACTGCACCTGGCCTGCATCCTCTACTCTTATGCTTGGTCTGCTTCAAACTGAAGTGACCTAACATAAGTCTTTTCTTTACCTTGACATGTTCACTGTTACCCCTAAGATACTGGTCATCTGAGATTGCTTTTTTAAACTTCTTAATGGATGTGAGGTGGTTCATTTATTGTCTGCTGGTCAGTCCGTCACTCTGCTGGCTCCAGGGCAAGCTTAGCTGGTCTGGTTGTTCATTCCCCACTCAACAGCTACACAGTCAGATCTTATTCACAGCTGCTCACTCGTGCAAGAAGACAACCTCCCCCACACACAGCAAGACTATCTTGCAGTCAAGAAAACAGAGGTGGCTCTACTTCCCTACTTTCTTCTGAAACTTACTACCGCTCATTTTGACCTTGCCTTTTTGACCTTGCTCATCTTCCTTGCCTCCTTCCCTCCACAGTGCTACAACCTCTAAAGTAACGCCTTGACCCTGTACACATATGGCTCAGCATGTTTCTGTGTTCATTCTATAGCAAATATAATTTTAATTCTCAGCCTGGGATTTTTTTTCTTTCTACTCACATTCAATCTCTAGTCATTCCTTTGCTAGACTGACTCACTTTGTGTCACCTGACTTCTCTTTCTCTCTAAAATGACACCTTTTCCACATCCTAAATCTCCACTTTCTGCTTCCTTCAACTTGTCCATCATCCTGGCTTTCAGTTGCTCAGCAGCTAAAATGCTCATCTGTCCAGCTAAAACTCGTCTGCCCTTACCACTTTCTGTTCTACATAGGCATTTTGATACACTATGAGAGACCTTAAAATCTTCTCAGTGAGCCAGATATATTATAAAACAATAGTGGTGTCTTTTGTTAGTATCTTTCAGAAACTGACTCCCTCCTGGAAGGTTTTGTAACAATTATAGTCAAGTTCACATATATTAGACATTTATAGAAAGGGTAGAAAAGGGCATAAGAAATGTCTAAAGAGCAACCTTCAAAAAAAATCTTCTGAGAATCTGACTTTATATCTATTGATGTTTATTCAATCAACTGATAAAACGTACAGGGAAACAGAAGGGAATGATCGCCAATGGGAGAAAATGAAGAGAAAGAAAGATAGAGCAAGTCTCTAAAGTTTGAACTTCATTTTGTAAAAACAAAGGAGCTATCATAGACAAAATCAAATTGGCAAATGTACATTTCAAATGTTTACCTTCTAAACAAATTTGCAAAGATGCCAATTTAATGTTGATCTTCATGTTAATGGTATTAAATTTATGAATAGTACTCATCAGGCACCTGTTTTTTAAAGTTAGAAAATGGAAACAGTTCCTTCAAAAGAATTTAAAGTTTAGACTCACACTTCCAATCAGAGGTTGCCAGTTTATGGCTTCTACAGAAAGTACGTCAACCTACAATTCAAGGAGGCCAGAGACTACCCTGCCAAATTCGTCCTGATTAGGACTGAATGCACCCCCTCACTTCATACCCTGTCTCCGTAGTAGCCTCTCTTCCCCTCTCCTTCAGGACCCTCATTTGTTGCCATGGTTTATCCATGGCTCAGGCTGACATGGGAATTCTCCTCCCTTCTGGCCCAGTAGTTTTGGGTACCAAGCACTGTTTTCTTGTGGACTGTCCCCTAGCATACCTTGGGGTGCATAGTCAGGCATTCTGGGAGGCTGTTCCTCTCTTTAGCCCAAACCTAGGTGTAAGTGCTGAATAAATAAAGGGACCAGAACTTGAAAATATGACAAGCAGCCACGGATACAAAACACGATTGATAGGATGAGCAAAATAATGTAAAGATATAAAATGTGACACCTGATGGGCCAGAATATAGATATTGTGTCCAACATCTTTTGGAGAAACACCATCATCTCCACCCTCGTCATCCCCATGGTCACACTCCAATCCTTGGTTGTAGGCATTCTTCATCACATCCACCTATCGGAAAAAAAAAAAGAAGACTGAAATGCCAGAAACAACATCCGCTTTACATTGTTTATGAGGTTTAATTAACAACTGGGCAGCTTCATGAGCCTCAAAAGTATAAAAGGACTCTAAATGAAAATGGCCTTGGAAACCATCTTTATTTCAATGAACATGAAAGTATTTTCCCACAATATTCCCCTTTTCCTTCGAAATTTTTGTTTGAAATTTGAATGTTTATAGTGTCAAAGTTCCCAAGAATTAGGAGAATCGAGAACCCTAGTAAACATCCATTATTTACTAAGTGCCCACTAAGTAACAGGCAGACATGGTGCTAGAAATTGCCCTGGGAACTGAGGTTCCCAACAGTGGATGGGAGAGAGTACCCTCAAGGAATTTACTGTCCAGTGGGACAAGCAAGGAAGGAGGCAAACACAGGGGGGTGCTGTCAGTCCTACTCCAGGGCTATGTATGTTTCTAAGGAAGTGCAGAGCAGGGGCATATACTCAAGCAAGAGGTGGAGGGTGGGCCACAAGGAGGAAGGGGATGACAGGATAAAGGTGTTGTCCACAGAGGAACTAGTATTTTCAAAGGGCTATTGCACAGTGCCATTGTTGAATAAATAATATAATTCACTGCCACATTTAACCATAGGATAGGAAATGTGTTGGTCCTTGTAACTCACTGCTTGCAGATAGACACTGGGCTCTCATTAAATATATATTAAATCAAACTTCACTTTATCTCTCTTTTTGCCTGACCTCCTTGACTCCATTCTTTACTAACAAAGTGATAGCAAAAGAGTGTTGTGCCAGGCTTTCATAGGAGATGCCCATAGCACCAACAACGGCCCTGATGTAAGTGGAGCTTAATCACCAGGGCACTGAGCTATACTATGTGAGTATGTTCTCAATGCTTTTGGAACCCAATGCTTTTAAAATACACCTGCATTATTTCATAAAGTGCATGCCATGAGTGAAAAGGAAAAGATAACTTCTACAATAGGAAGACACACTAATGATCTCTGTGGAATCTCTACTAGAGTCTGCACAGTTTCCTTGAGGCCAAGCATTGTACAACATATTACTGAGAAGGACAACTACAAAAAAAAACTAATTTTATTTTATTTTTCAGAAAGAGGTATAAATAAAATTTTTGAAGAGTACAAACATTTTTTTTTTACATCCCTTCCTCATATGCTCCAATACACCATTAAACTAAAGCCAACTTTTTTTCTGGCAATACACATTTGCATATAGTTTAGTATAGTGTGATAAGTTGGCTAAGAAAAGCGCTTGGAGTGGATAAAACTACTGAAGTCATAAGGCCCAGATCACACAGGCCTTTGCCAACACAGGGCCTTCTGAGGTATTGGAAATGGTAGGTCATGATGCTCCATTTGTCTCAGTAGAGCAATGAAAATCAATCAACTTTTTTTTTCTGACATGTATTCTCTAAACTTGTTCCTTTTAGGTTACTCAATATTAACCAAGCTTCTAAAAGTTTTCTTACCAGTTCTCTGGGTCTCATGTTAAAAAGAATTCTTTCTGCGTTCTCGCTGTCATGTCTGCTTTCCATAATGGCCAGCAAAAGTTTAGATGCATTGTTCTAGAGACACAGTTTGAGTTAATGTGCATGCAAAGTCAATTTCATGGATTAACGATTTCTCTGCATTTGTTTTAACTGAGATTACTAGGACCTCTTTTTTAATCAAACAAAATTTAAAGCTGCTAATTTCATTTGTCTTGTTAACATTCTAAAATAGAACATTTTACTTCACTGTGAACACAAAATATAACTAATGAATCATGAGAGCTATGTTACAAGACATATTTTAAATATTGGTGAAAAGGTACTTCAAATGCAAAATTGACTTACTATATATCGCACTAAAACATAATCATATTTTCCCTCACTGTTTCCTAAATAGGCATTTCAAAAAACAAGGTGAACAGGTATCAGTAACATATTTTACAGAAATGGTATACAATTTAAAGAATTTAGCACAATTGTTAAAATGAAATATTAATACATATTAGCAAATCGAAATCTAAAACTATATGAGCAACAATTAGAATTAATCTATAAAATTACAAATTCATGTGTTAGAAATATAAACTTATTGATAATGGCTTCCTAGTCTTACTATATGGCAGGTGATATGCAACTTGTTTCCCTTTGGGTTATGAAAGAATATCTTCTATTTTTGCTTAACAGAAAATGAAAATAGCTTATGTTGTCTTTGAAGTGTTCTAATTTGTTTTATCAATATATTATCTCAACCATTTCTACCTACAGATATCAAAAATATTTCTGATACAATTTATAATCCAAAATAGATACTCAGAGTTACAGAAAATCTTAGCCAAGAAAGTACAATATCCTAAACATTTTGAAAGATGTTACGTTATACTGTGTTTTTAATAGTGCTGGCATAGAATTTTGACAAATTGCAATATGAAATTAAATATCCAGGATTTACTTCTACAGTGTGCTCATAATATTCATTTAGATAACAATCTTAACCTCCACACACAATCTTTGATAGAAGTACAAAAGAATTGGAGTTAACATGGCTTTAAGATGCTTCTAAGTGACTCAAAGTTAACATATCATAGCATGAAAATTAAAATGAATTGTGTTTGGTCTAAATAAATAACGATCATGCAAATTTTGTTAAGGTTGTGCAAATTAATTCTCCTGGGTAGTTTTAACACCAAATTCTATCCAACTATTTCCCCCCTCAAGAGGTATAGCCTAAAAATCATCTTAAGTGACCAATAACAGTGACGATGATGAAGACGATGATTGACACTAACGTCACTGACTCATTATGAAAAGACTTTAGTATTTTGGGGGAAAGGGAGTATTATCCTTTTCTGCTCCATTTTCATATTTTGCAGACTTGAACCAATCCTAAAATTCTCTTCAACAATCTAGTATCCCACATAAATAACATACCTAGAAGAGTAAGGTTCTAGGATTAGTGGAGAGCTTAAATCCTAGGAATAATCTGAACAGATCATGGAATTCAAAGCTAAAACCTTGGCAACACTGACAGTGTTATCTAATGAACCTTCCCTCAGCAGGCCCAATACATGATAGCTTAAAAATACATCCAATTTCAGAATGCTATTGGCAATATGGTATTTTTTCTAGCCAATCTTCTTTTCCATATTATGTCAGAAGAATAGAAATCTTATAAATGGCCTAATGAAATATGAATCAAATTGATGGTATAAGAGTCTATAAATACCACAAAATCAAATGGAAATATCAGTGTTAGTGCAGGAGTTTCTTCTTAAAGAAGCCACATTCTTTAAAAACAAAACAGAAATATTTACCTATTTACAAATGAAGCACTTCATATTTACAGCTCAGTTTTGCAAATGAAAATAAAAAGGACACCAAATATCAAAAAGTAATAGAGTCTCATACTAAATGAGTATATAAAGCTAAGTATACTTAAAATTAGGGATGATTCAGCAATTAAATTCAGGAATGAATGACATAAAATAAAACCTTAATAATTATTAATATGATATCTTTTTAATGTTAAAGATAATTTATTATTTAAAGTACACTATGCATGGAAATCCCTTAAATTTCTAATATATATTATTCTGTCTTACAAACATTGTTCTTATATCGGACAACATGTACAAAGCCTCAAAGATTGTTTAGAAAAGTACACATACCTCATTCCCTAAGAAAAAAAGACTATACTTTAAATATTTCAAGTCAAATCTATATTTGGTATTTTGACTTATCCAACTGTCATATTTTTAAAAGGTAACAATTGTACATACTAAAATTAACAAAAATTTAAATAACTTTTTTTTAAAAAGCATTTTCATTTGAATAGTTGATAATATCTTTGTGCTGTTAAGTGATGCCCTCTCACTTAATTTTTTTACACAGGCTTTGATTTGTAAATAATCTATATGCTTATACTTTATTTTACATGGATGAGTCATTCAGTATTTCTGCCCATTAAGTTTAATTAACTACAAAAGAAATTTAAAGGTATAGTCTTTAATGAAGGATTTTAAAAGCCAAAGATCAAGACCTGTCTATGTTGTTTCTTAATGAATTATGGTTAAAGATGAATTTAAGATAAAACAACAAAAATTTTTCTAATAACTTGAATTTAAGCTGACTATCTCACAGGCTGGTTTCATTAACTGAAGCATGATGGTAATGAATCAAAGCACAAAAGTACATCTACGTAAGAATCACCTTTTCTAATCTATGAACAGAAAGAACAGCTTATACATATTACAACTGAAAACATGAAAAAATACAAACCCACCTCTTCTATTAAAGAAGCAGTTAAGCTGGGTGTGGTGGCATGCACCTGTAATCCCAGCTTATCAGGAGGTGGATGCTGGAGGATCACATGGGCCCAGGAGTTCAATATCAGCCTGGGCAACATAGTGAGACTCCAACTCAAAAAAATAAAATAAAGATAAAGAAGCATATGCTTACTAAGAGCCTTTAGCACAATCTTCACATAAACATATGTACTTTCCATTGTAATACCTAAACCTAAATTTAGAAACAGAATTAGAAAAATATCATTCCTATTTTTCTTGGCTACAAATTTACCCATACAAAGTTAAATTTAATTATACATTCTTTATAGTCTTGGATAGACCAGGCTTCACAGAGAAATTGTAATTTAGGCAAGATTATTTTTTCCTCGTTAACCCTAAACACAATCATGTAGTCTTTACTAGCTCATCTCAATTGAATATCATGCCTTAGCTTTTGGGCTTTATATAATTTATTGTATATATTAATTTGTGCTCCCGAGCTCTTATAAATGAAACTGCTGGGAACTGTGTACAAGGCTTAAATTAAAGAAACCTCTTAGAGTGTGGATATCACTGAAAGTATTTTGGGGAAAGATAGTATTTTAATGTAAAAGAGAACAACTTTTAGAAAGAAGAGAGCCATAAAACTAAAATGCAGCACTCCTTTGACTTTGTTTAATTCCTTGTGACTTTCTGGGTGGAATTCTGTGGTCAATGTGTTTTAAAAATATATCAACACCTTTTGCTTCTCCCTATAATGAAAAATATAAAATAAAAACTAGACCGGGTGCGATGGCTCATGTTTGTAATGCCAGCACTTTGGGAGGCCGAGGCAGGTGGATCATGAGGTCAGGAGTTCCAGACAAGTCTGGCCAACACAGTGAAACTCTATCTCTACTAAAAATACAAAAATTAGTTGGGCGTGGTGGCAGGCACCTGTAATCCTAGCTACTCGGGAAGCTGAGGCAGAAGAATTGCTTGAACCTGGGAGGAGGAGGTTGCAGTGAGCTGGGATCGCGCCACTACACTCCAGCTTAGGCAGCAGAGCTAGACTCCATCTCAAAATGTCAAGTAAAATAAAATAAAAATAAAAACAAAAGGGAAATCATGAAACACAGTGGCTGCTTGGAGAACTTCCAGGAAAGGACCTTGCCATGGAATATTACCTCAAAGTTAACTTCACATTGCATCCGGAGTTTAGTAAGCATTGTACTTTCACTATCCCTTTCTGTCAATTGATTCATTGAAAACATGATAGTATGCTTTTGACAAGAGCTGCTTAAAGATTGTACTACAGAAACTGTAGCTTTTCTGGCCTGAACAGTGGATTCGCTCTACCTTTAGCTGGAGCACCAGATCCATTCGGTATTTACCAAGAGGGTTTATGTCATTCAGAATCAAAGCAATGATGATATCAATCCCATTAGACTCATGTGTAGCGATACAGGTCTAGAAAACAAAATATTTGTAGAACAGCATTTGATTCACAACAGAATAGCACAGAACTAACAGGATATAAAGCAACATAAAAACCTTAATTTTTGACCTTTAAAAAATAGCTAAGATTTGCCTTTGAGCATTTGACTTATTCTTTTGTATAGGGTCTGGCAATTAATTGATTAGTATTGATCAAATGGCCTTGCATGCAGAACACTGAGAAAGACACTGCGTGAAGCACGTATCTTTTAAAATATACTGTGTTTATAGAATTTCAGAGACTACTGGTTAAGTTAAATATCCTTTCATTCAATAAACTTTAATATACCAATCAACGGAGGAGTTCTTTAAGGTCAGAATTTTAAGATCTGAATTATCCTCAATGAAAGAATTTTCCCATTTATGAAAGACGTGTGTCCCTCATACCTGAGATTTGTAGGCAAATTTTACAGTACCGATGAAGCAATTTAAATTGATTGCTACTTAATGCTAAACTGATGACAAGAGATGCTGCTGTCCATGCCAGGTGGAAGCGAAGACAAGTAATATAGAGACTCTCCTGATGTCTGGGGACATGCTGTCAATAATGATGGCCGAAGGAAAAATTTACTGAATTTCTTAAACTTATATGAGGGATCTTCATTGGGGAAAATTTATGAAACATCCTGTGAGATAAACATCCACATTTTGAAGGTTAAGATCAACTGTGCTGGGATTCTGAATTTAATTTTACAGGTCTTAAATCAGGAACTTGTGAGCCAGATTTGTAGGACTATGTGTTAACAATGTAGCACCTTGTCAAGGGGTATGAAAAACTGAAATCCTGGCAAGTTAAATGAGAAAGAACAAAATCAAGACAATTTCAAAATGACTGCTTTTTCAGCATGGGCTTTATTTCTCCCTTCATACAATGGAGTTTTTATTCCTCTGACATAGAGGAAAGGTGTTTTCTACCCATCTCCTACCTTTCCTGAGGTTCTTTTGCTCATTAAAATATTTGCCAAACTTAAAGAGATCATCTCCAGAATTTGCCAGCAATCTTTCCTCCCACACATTTTCAGAGCAATGGGGAAGTATTTGTGAGGTTCGTGTTATTTGAAAATTAGCTTTTACTTTTAGAACTTATTTGGTTTTAGCAAATTACTTTCAAAGTTCACTTCCATTCTCTTATGAGACCAAAACTGGGGAACATTCTCACAAGCTTTCCCGGAAACAGCAGAAGAGACAAATGGTATAATTATTTTCTATTATAGATGTACAAGTTTTTATCAACAACAAAACCAAATCTTTGAATTTGTATGCTTTTCCTTAACTTTAAATCAACATCTAGGTTTTCTTGTATCATTGCTCTGGGAGACTGAAATATAACCCAGAAAAATGCAGGGAAATATCCACAAACTCTTTTGGTATTTCATATGTACAGTACAGAAAGGGAAAATACCTCCATAACAAATTGTTTATGCCAAAATTGTCCTGTTTTTATTTTATACACCTACGCATGTACATATGTGTGCATATGTTCATAAATATATGTGTGTGTGTGCATAGACACCATGTGCATGTGTGTGTACATCTCATGTAAATTGCAATTTTTAAAAAAGCAAATTTCTTTTTCACATTTTTCTATGTCAATCATTGTTGTTTTTGCTCTCAATGGCTTCTTTAATATTTATATCCAGAAATGTTTATGACTTGAAAACTCTGTCTTATGGACTGATCCATGCCTATGATGGTAGCTCCATGATGCCTGAGAGGAGGTGATACAGTCAACTGGCAAACTTTCAGGTGGCATCCCTTCCCTTAATTGACCCAAGTGTCCTGCCTTCTACTCCCATAATATGTCCTTGATATCCAAGCAAACAAAATTAGAGGCAAACATTCTGGAAACGAGACTTGAAACTGTGCCCTCCAGAATGTAATATAGTCGAAAGAGCACTCGATTTAGACTCAGAATCAAAAATCCTTAGTTGTAAGAGTGGCTCTACAACTTACTGATTCTGTCACTCTGAAACTCTGGAAAGTCACTTAATCTTTGAGTTAGAGCCTATTCATCAGCAAAGTAGGAATAATGACACCTATTCACAAGTGTATTGTGCATATAAAAGAAACAACATATACTACTCCTTGTAGGGGTGCCAAAAGAGCCAAAGAAAGTTTATTCCACAAATCCCGGAAAGGTTCACTAAAGATGAAAACTGGGTGGTGGTCATGACACATATTTCACTTTTTTCAGTAAGTCGATTTTTATCTTGAACATTTTCATGGGAATTGTTTTTACAATGAAATTATATACAAATGCAGCATAGTATTTCCTCGTCTATAATTCAGTCTTTGTATGTTTTATTAGGAAAGTAAAAATGTCTGGCACAGCAAGAAGAAAGATCTTTCAAGTGCACACAAAGATTGGCTCCTTCCCCAACTTAATCCCTTTACTAATTAGTCATGAATACTTCTCGTTACCTGATTTTCATGGCAGGGGCCCTGGCAATACTCAGTCAAGCTCTCCAGGGTCTGGTTGACCAGTGCTACGTTCTTCTCATTGATGTAGAGACCCAACAGGCCCAGGCCACCGGTTGTACTTCCGCAAATGCAGTCCAGAAACTGAAGGGTCTCACAGACAAGGTTGTAATTTGTTTTGTTGTTTTGATTCCTCAAGAAGTTCTGAAGGCAAAAGAAAATAAACCTGAAGGGTTACAAAAATTCACTGTGCTGATTGTTTGTTGTTCTCCCCATATGTGCGCTTTTCTAACTCTTCTTTGTAAGAAAATTATTCGCATTTATTAAAATTGTCCTCCATTTAAGGAGGGAGAAAGGCCCTTAGGCCTTAGGTTTTTCCTCAAGCATCTCTCTATCTATCTATATATATACACACATGCACACACACACACACATATACACACACACACATATATGTACTATATATAATATATAATATATTGTGCCTTTGTGTGTATATATATAAAACATATATATATATCTCAGGATAGTTCATAATCAACATTTCTCAGTGTCATTATCATCAAACTACACACAGAGGGCAAAAGTAACGAGAAGTGGGAAAAAGAGAAAAAAAACTAGGTAGAAAGAAGTTCATTAGGGAGAGAAGCAAATTTTCAATTATAAATAATCTCATATGAACAGTGCAACTTCGTTGTTCATTGATTATAAACGATATAACCATTATGAAGGGCAACTGGAAGTATCTATCAAAATTTTCAGTTAACATACAGTTCCACTTCTAAAAAGCTTTTCTAGATATATGTACACAAGTACACCAACAGGTTCCCTGCATACTGCTTGTTATACAAACACCAGAAACCATATCATAATTATGGTAATGTGACTGGCTTAATAAACAATAGTACATCCAAACATTAGAATACTGTAAAACTATAAAAATTTGGTACTTCAACATGTATCAATAAACATAACCTGGCAATAAGTAATTGTCTAATAACAGATATTACTAAATGAAAAATGTAAGTTAAGGAATACCATAAAATATGATTTTTTTTTTTTTCTTGAGACGGAGTCTCACTCTGTCACCCAGGCTGGAGTGCAGTGGCAAGATCTCGGCTCACTGCAAGCTCCGCCTCCTGGGTTCACGCCATTCTTCTGTCTTAGCCTCCGGACTAGCTGGGACTACAGGTGCCCGCCACCACGCCCAGCTAATTTTTTGTATTTTTTTTAGTAGAGACAGGGTTTCACCATGTTAGCCAGGATGGTCTTGATCTTCTGACCTTGTGATCCACCCATCTCGGCCCTCCCAAAGTGCTGGGATTACAGGCGTGAGCCACCGCGCCTGGCCGGAATACCATAGAATATGATTTTTAAAAAATGTTTACCTGCACAGATCAATATGCTTATGCATGCATAAAAATTTCTAGAAGAAAAAACCTAGACCCTGACAATATTCAGTCAAGTTCTCCAGATTAATCACCTGTTAACAGTGATTTTCTCTGGGGAGTAAACCTAGTAAAAGGGTAAGCTGGGAAGGAAACTTGTTTTATATTTCAATTTAGTATTTATTTCTATTAATTTATTATTTAATGTGTTTATTTCAATTTATATCTACCATTTATTCTTCTTAAGACAATTTTAAAAGTAGTATTTTCTATACTGATCCCACACTCCTATCAGTAAACTGTTCAATCAGATACTATCTAATGTGTTATATACCCTACATGTCTATTTCCTACACTGACAGACGAAATGGGTTAGGATATGCCCATGGGCACTGATCCAGTATTGTCCCTCCAGAAGCAGTGTTTCTGGCCTTGGCCCACCTGTGCACAAACAATGCAAAAAAGTGGCCAAAATTCAAAATTCATAGGCACTCCTAAGTTCATCTATCTAACAAAGGAAAATGCAGGAAAGAAGATATAAGACACTGACTACATTCATTTTTGAATGTATCCACCTTCACTCTAGTTAAAAACATCCTCTTCTATGTTAATTCTGTTTCAAATGAAGACATACAAATATACTCAGTATTCTCACCCGAGAAATATGAATTGGCTTGAAAATAATGAAAGCCCCTTAAGACTATAAAACTATGAAAGATATAGATGAGACAAATATGATCTCTCTCAACAATATAACCTTACCAGAGAATACTAGGAAGAGAGGATGCCCACTGAGGCTAAAAATATTTGAAGCTAAAAATATTGATGAGGATGATACTGTATGAGGCTGATTTTTTTTTTTTTTTTTTTTTTGGTATAAAAGGATTTTCTTCTTCCTTTTCTTCACTGATACCAAAGTTTCTTCCCATTTCAGAAGAGGACTATTGCTTTTATTGATTATCTTTCCAAAACTCTCTCCAAAACTACTTGTTGGTTTTATTGGAATTTAATTACTTACAAACATAGGTTGTATTCTCAGCTTTCACACAAAACAGAACAAATACCTGTAATTCTCGGTTGTGATTCTCACACAGTAACTGAAGAAATCTCAGTATTGGCTGCATGATGGCAATTGCAGGACTCATTGTTACTTCCTCTGCAGATTTTTCCTCAGTGTTTCCTGCTTCTGGTCCTGTGCACATGATGTCTATTTCTGGATCCATTTCTCTTCTGTATACACAATATGCTTTGGATGTTGCTGAAGAAGCTTCTGTTAATTGCCCTTTCATTCCCTCTTTTAAATGTAGTGTTGAATCTCTTACTGAAAACAAAGCAGTACTTTTATATTTCTGAACCAATTTGCTTTCGCTAATTTTTAGAAAAAAAAAAAAAAAAACAACCAGGTACCCAAATTCTCTAACAACTGAATTAAAAATAATCTGAAAAAAGGTGCAACAATTTCCAAAAAGGATTTGAGATAGCACTTAAAAGTTAAATTTGCAGTGGGTCATAAAAAAGATCTCAATGCTTAGCAAATTTTAAAAGGACTCATGTATTTCTGATATATGAGTTTCATATTCAAGAAGGCAGGAAAATGTGACAAACTTCAAAATGTTAGTGTCTTTATGATTTGTATTTAATACATGGATGATTTTGTCATTCTAATACCAAGAATCTTTCATTGGAGTTTGGTGTGGTAATTTCTGTTTTTAAAGTTTTATTTTCATGGTCACTTAAAAGATTTGGGGCAGTTATTCTTTACCATGCATGCCACAGTGAAATCAAACATTTTTCATGTCATTGGTTGCTTTGTACTGATTATGTCTCATTTAAGTCTAGTCCTGCAGAGCTGTTTTAGGGTCAACCCATGACCAAAATTCTTTATGGATGATCAGAGCCACAGTGGGGATAATTAAACCAAGAGAAGAGAGATGACAAATGTTAATGAGATTTAAACACTATTCCCCTTTTCTCTCACTCTGTTCTCCCAAATACTCAAATGCTTATTTACCTCTCATTCGTGGACCAGATGTCATCAATTCATTGTCATCGTCCCTTTTTTTGCTACCTAAATCTATGGTATTAACTGTCACTGTTGATCTTATTTCTTTCTGAGCAGCCTTCATTCGATCATACAGAACTTTAAAGAATTTTTCTGACTTTTTTTGTTCATGCAACTGCTGGTAGAAAGAATACTGCAAGAAAACATATTTTAAGACATCAATACCCAAGGGGAGACAAATAGTGTTTTTATGCTTGAAATAAACATAAGCATTATAGGTAAAAGCACATACTTAATGCACTACCCATTATTATTTCATAAATTGACAGCCTTTGCCAGTTTCTTGTACTATTTAATGTGTACTAATAATAGTTGGTATTTACTTAGCATTTTCCACTAAACTCCAACATATTTTCATATGCTGTTTAATTTATCCTTACTGGTTATATATTTTTAAAAATGTACAGGGACATTATAAGAATTTGTGTGGAAAGAATTCTTTGATTTTTATATTATTATAAAGTCATGCATTGATTCAACATGAATGTATTGAGTGCCTACTATGTGTCAAGCCCTCCGTTAATAGGGATAGAACAAAAATGGAAACCAACCACAATCCTTGCTCTCATGAGTTTGTAGTCTAAAGTGGAAAATAGCCATCAACCCAATGATCACCCTGTATAAACATGAGTTTACGGAAAGTTACAAAGGATGATTTTTCTCTTTATCTAAATTACAGCACATTTTAGAAATTTAGAAAGTGTTACCACGGTAGCCTCACTCATGGGATCTCACTGATAAACAGGTACCAACTTCTTTTGGTTCCTCATTAGCTACATTGTTTTGCATGGGGTCTCAGAAAAATCCACCTTAAAATAAATTTAGTCAATAATGATGCAGAAGTGGTTCAGAAACAAAAGTATGATAAAATGTATCTTTGTAAGATGTGGAAATATTCAGCCCTGGGAAGATTTACCCAATTCTTGTCTGCTCAATGCCTTATGGAAGTGTCCAGGAGAAGCAGTAGGAGGTAGGAAAGATAACACATTCCAGGGAAGATAGAATTTGAAGTGGGTGGGGAAATTATAACTTCTTACTACCAAGATTATGAGATAGACACAAGACAAGATAAATATCATTTGTAAATTAATAAAGAGAGTAACTCCCTAACTGTAGTGAATAAAAGAGTTATATAAGCTTGAGGAGAGATAGTATGAAGAAAACATAAGAAAAAATAATTTCCAGATCAAGCAGAACTGGTCCTATTCCAATATAAGAACATTTAAATAGCCAAATTTGGGGAGTTTGCCTCCAGGATATGCTTTCCTTTAGGAATTCCTGGAACTATGACCCACAGGTCTTGGGATCCATAACCGAGACTCTAATGACATCAGGTCTTGAAATGGTTGCCTACCCTGCAATTTTCTCTATGCACAATGTATATACACGAGTGTCTTATGAAGCCTTAGATGTCAGCTGCACACCTACAAGGGTAAGCTCCTACACAGAAGGCGAGCAACCCTCAAGAAAGAAGGCCAAAAAGTCACGGTAACCATAGCAACCACAGTAAAGCAGTCAAGCTGGTTTTGTTAATTCAAACAATAAATGCAGCATTCACAGACCTTTACAATCCCATGAATTAAGCAGATGATAAAGTTCGAATCTTTTCAATATAATGGGGTTAGAAGGTGGAAGGAGTTTCCAATATATTAATGAGGAGTTATGAGAACTTTGTGGCTCTATTAAAACAAAGTTTCATAATTTATGTAGTTCTTACGTATACATTACTTCATAGATACTTTCAATTCACCAGTGTGATGAATAGAGTGTTCTTAGTTCCATTTTATAGATTCATAAAATGAGGTTTAGTAAAGACGAGTGACTTGCCCAATATTATGTAACTAGTAAGGGGGAGAGCTAGGATTTAAATCTAGATTTTCTGACTCTAAATCACTAAATATATAAAACAACCTCTCACGATCAAAATGCTAGATTATTTACACAGATAACACCTTTTAAGAACCAGGTATCTACAATGCTTAACACCACGATTTTAAAAAGGAAAAGTAGGTTTCATATATATTTATATAATCTCAATAATAGCATAAGGATTCCTCTCACTAAAGATATGATTTTTGCTTAGGAAACTACCTCCATTAGCTGCACAGAGTGTAAGAGCAAAGAGACTCTAAGTGTTTTGGAACTAAGGGGGATGGATAAACAGATATGTGTGACAGGGGAGTGGAAGAGGCAGAGAAGGGAAGGGAAGTGAGAATGGAGAAAGACAAGAGCATGATGCAGGGAGAATCCTCAAGTGAAATATCCTAGGGGTGAGGATGGAGATGATTATTCCTAGAAAATAGATGCTTCTTGCATCTAAGAGCACAGATCTGGAGCCAGACAGCATGGATTTGAAACCTGGCTCTATCTCTAACTAGCGACGTAAGCTTGGGTCTATCTCAGTTTCTTCTTCAGTAAAATAGGATAACACACCAGTTACCTCGCAGGTTGTTTGAATATTAGCCAAGGTAAAACATACAAATCACAAAGAACAGTGCCTCATATTTAGTAGGTATGATTTTTCTTATTGCTATCATTAGGTTCCATGTGAAACTGTAATATAAGTACCTCCTGTATCCTCCCCTTCAGTTGATCTTTAATAAAGTATAGAACATACATACGTTGACTTAATGTAGTTAGAAAGGAAGAAATTAAGGAAGAGGCTGCAATTCTCAGCATGACAGAAGCAGGGGCGTTAAGAATCTATGTGCTGAGAAAGCAAGACTGTTTCTGGCTAAGGAGACAGAATGTAAAACCCCCGGGGAACTGGCAAGTATATTGGGGAGCAGTGTGCTTTAGACTGCTATAGGGCAAGGAATAAGATTTGAGCTAATCTCAACTAGACCTCTTAGAACCAGGAAAACATAGTTGCCATCTGGGTTATACAATGTGAGACATCCGAGTAGAGGAAGGCTGGTACCTATTGCCATAATCCATCTTAAAAGAAGATTTTCATATATAAAAGTAATTTAACGCTGTTTCATCAACAAATATTTGTTGAATGGCCGTAAAGCACTGTAGACATAAAGAATAGGATATGATCCCCTATATTGAAGAAGTTGAAATTCAACTGGAGAGGCAGGGTATAATACAAATTACAACTAAACAAAGTAGCACGTGCAAAATGCCAAGTGGGTATTAAAGAAACAAGTGCATAGGAGCTGAGATAAGGGAATGGATACCAAATGCCCCAGACGAGCTAGGAAAGACTTTATGAAGAAGAAAGAATTTGATTAGGACCATTCATTCACAGATCCATTCCCTCCTGCACACTGATTGAACCCCAAAACTGGTCCAGACACAAGGGGTACCAAGATGAATAAAATGTAGTTGCAACCTTGAAGGACTTATAATTTACTAGATAGCACCTGATACACACATGAAGAGGCACAAAAAAGTGGCAGAAATGGCCGGGCCCGGTGGCTCACGCCTGTAATCCCAGCACTTTTGGAGGCCAAGGCAGGTGGATCACCTGAGGTCAGGAGTTGAAGACAAGCCTGGCCAACAGGATGAAACCCCACCTCTACTAAAAATACAAAAAATTAGCCGGGCATGGTGGTGGGTTCCTGTAATCCCAGCTACTCAGGAGGCTGAGTATTGCTTGAACCGGGGAGGCGGAAGTTGAAGTGAGCCGAGATTGCACCATTGCACTCCAGTCTGGGTAACAAGGGTGAAACTCCATCTCAAAAACAAACAAACAAAAAAAAGTGGCAGAAATGTCATTAAAGACGTTCACAGGTTATAACAGGGGCACACAGTAAGCAGTAATCAATTCTACCCAGTGAGATACAGAGCCTGAAAAGGCTTCTAGGAGAAATGCATTGAGTTGAATCCTCAAAGAGGAGAAAACAGCATGAGAAATAACACAACGCATTTGAGGAATGACAAAGAGCTAAGTGTAGCTGATGCATAAGAGGAAGGATGCAGGAGGCAAGAGGGTGGAAGAACAAGGGAAAGTTGGAAAATTTGAAGAGAACAGGAAGGATCTTATGGACTGTAGCAGGGAGTTTGTCTTTATAGGGCAGGTGACAGATTTTAAGCAGAATAATAGCATGTTTTTGGAAAGGCATCTTTGAAGGCAACATGAAGAATGATTTGGAGAAGGGCAAAACTGGAAGCAGGGACACCTCTTATAAGACTATTTGTCACTGTCCAGGAAAAGATAAGGAGGATCTGTAGTGAGAGCTGGAAAAGCAGGGATTGAAAATAATAGAATATGGATATGAGGGATATTAAAGGGGTAGAATCACAGAAGTTGGTCATCAGTGGGATGTTCAGGAAGAGAGTAAGTGAGGGTGGAGAAGTTAAGTTCAAGGCTGACTATCACTTTCTGATCAGACAACTGGGTAGATGGAGTGCCAGTCATTGAGAGAGATAATGGCAAAAGGAGCAGTGGGTGTATGGAGAACAACAGCAGATTCCATGTGAGATTTGTTGAGCTTAAGGCATTTGTGCACATCCCACTAAATATTCTGGAAGACAGCTGGATACAGAGTCTAGAACGTCAGTGAGTTCAGAAGCATCTAAACACAGTAAACGTTAAAGGTGTGGAAATGAATGAGGTCAGGCTGGAGAACAAACAGAGTGAGAAGAGAGAGTGCAAAGAAACTTGGGAGATGTCAGGATTCAAGAGTTAAGCAGAGGAAGAAAAACCTTTGCAGAAGGCTAAGAAGAAATGGTAGGAGGTAGAAGACAAGCTGGAGAAGGTAGTGTCCCAAGACCCAGGTAGAAAAGGTTTCAAGAAGAAAGAAAAAGTCACTAGTGGCAAATGCCACAGAAAATCATGTAAAGAAGGACTGAAAAATATTTCGGTTGTGAGGAGATCTTAGGGGAACAACTTGCCAGGAATTTATAAGTAGAAGGTGCAGTTTCCAATGGGAGCTGGCTTATTCCGCAGCAATATGAGGATACAAGTAAGCAAAAATAAGTGCAAAGGATGAAGGATGATCCCATCTGGTGACCCTTAGTGGCCTAGAAACAGAAATCTACAAAAGACTGTAATCCTAAGGATTTCTTCTAGAGATGCCCCCTACCAAAAAAAAAAAAAAAATACTGTCACTTCTGTCCACTGAAAAGTCTCTAGCTAATGTTATGTGGTTGCCTGGACACTTCCTCTAGAAAGTCCCAGTTGACAGAACTTCCTGGTTTAAGTCTGATTAGTATTTTGTCATGTTCATAAACCGCATTTTAAAAAATCATTCATCCATTGATAAGTAAAATAGTGGAAGCTAAAAATGCTGAAGTCATAGAAGTAGACAGTGGAACACTGGTCATAGAGTCCAGTTTCAGTTAAACAGGAGGAGTAAATTTCAGTGTTCTACTGCAAAGCAAGGCAATGATACTTAATAACAATAATATGTTATATATTTCCAAATAGCTGAAAGAATTTTAAATGCTCTCACTACAAGTAAATGATAAATATTTGAGGTGATGGATATGCTAATTATCCTCATTTGATCATTACACAACATATATATATGTGATCATATATATATATGATCATTACACAACATATATATATATATATATCTCAAAGCATCAGATTGTACCCCATAAAGATACACAATGATTATTTGTCAATTAAAAATAAAATATAATTTTTAAAAAGCCCCAACTGAACACCTGGTTCAGATAAGATAATTTCCAAGAAAATTCACTCAACTTCCTCCATCACCTCCTTCCTCAACTTCCCGCAGGGGAAATCTATGCTGCAGCTACAGCATCATGAGAATTTTAAATACTTTCTTTTCTCAACTAAGTACTATAGATTTAGCGTTGTTTTGTCACCATGCCACTTGCTGCTCTTGAGGCCTTTATTCCTAAAGCCACTGTGATTGGATGTGTTAGACGATAATGTTCCTGTCGTTCAATGTATTTGACGGTTAAATGACGCACAATATCCAAGTTTCAAATCAGACATGGCTTCTGCTGGCCATGAGTCGAGAAAATGGCTTTTGGAATTTCTAATTATATACTTAGTTGTAAGTAGGTAGTTTTCTTTACTGACCAAGGCAAACCTAGAAAGAGCAGGCTACCAAGCAGCAAAACAGACAGCTAGATGGGAGGAATAAATTCCTGTGTTCTAATCCTCAGTAGGGTGGCCATAATTAACAATTTATTGTATATTTTCAAATAGCTAGAAAAGTGAATTTTGAGTGTTCCCAACACAAAAAAATGATAAACGTTTGAGGTGAAGGATGTGCTAATTACCTTAATTTGATCATTACATATTATATACATGTATCAAAATATCACACTGTACCCAATAAATATGTACAATTATTACTATTTAACCATAATGATAAAAAAAAAAAAGACTGGAGGAAAATGTCTGTCATCTGGGAACACTCCCCAGCTCTCCAGCTCATACAGCATGTTTTGCCTTTGGGTGTAGTCAAGTCCACGGGCCACTTGGCAGAAGTTTCAAAAGAAAACATGTGCCTTCTGGAAACAGTGGCCTAATCTCCTGTGTGCAGGTAACCATATTGCTCACTGTTGTGGAATTCCTGGAATAATGTCAGAAGGAAGTTTCAGAGGAATGTTCTGCTTGACTGAATAAATTGTGAAGCTCTGTAGTTTCTACAGCAAACAAATAAATTTAAGAAAAGTGTGATACATGGATTTTTTTTTATAGTAATAAGAGCTAAAAGAAACACATTACTTTTCCTTGGTTTCTGTGACAAGTAAACAAGAAATACCAATAATAAATGTAATCCCCATGATTGATGAACAAGTACCTGTGTTTGTGTATTTCCTCCTTCGAGCAAGGCAATGCCGAGGAAAATGCCTTCTGAAAAAATTCTGTCATTTTTGGTGTTCACTATAACATCGATGACAAGCTCTGATGCACCTTCTTTATCCAGCAGACACTGAATATCTGACATTGATATCCCCATCTTATCTGAATCTTGTCCAGAAAAGCTTCCTGTGATTAGGAAAAATAAATAAATAAATCTTAATTGTAGACACTATTAACATGTAAGGTTTTCAAATTCTTAAATTTTATTATTTTAATAAAAATATTAATCATTGAGATTTTTCCCTACAAAGTTAAATATAATAGAAGCTTGAGGCTGGGCATGGTGGCTCACGCCTGTAATCCCAGCACTTTGGGAAGCTAAGGCGAGCAGATCACTTGAGGTCAGGAGTCTGAGACCAGCCTGGCCAACAGAGTGAAAGTCCAATTCTACTAAAAATACAAAAATTAGCCGGGTGTGGTGGCACATGATTGCAATCATAGCTACTTGGGAGGCTGAGGCAGGAGAATCGCTTGAACCTGGGAGGCGGAGGTTGCAGTGAGCCAAGATTGCGCCACTGCACTGTGGCCTGGGTGACAGAGCGAGGCTCTGTCTTGGAAAAAAGAAAAAAAAAAAAGAAACAAAACAAACAAACAAACAAAAACGCTTGAGTTTAAAAAATCAAAGTTTGTAAAAATAGAACTCTTTATTAAATGTTTGACACATGTGATTAAATGTTTTGCTTAAAAATAGAAAAAGAAAACTAGCTTTATTTCGTCCTTAATTTCTACATTAAGAGATTATAACTTAACTATTTTTCTAAAGTCAAAAAGCAAAATTAATTCTGATGTTCAAATCTGTTGTTTTATGAACCCCAAATTGTATGAAAGTTTTTAATAGTGATTTTTAAATGACTCTTTTATATCTCTGCCATTTCAGTAAAATACAAGAGTAACAATGACATGGAGATGTATCAAGAGAATCCTAAAACGAGAAAACAAATGACAGGACTTACCTCCCACCTGTGCAGTTTTGGAGTAGGCTCCTGATAGGTGTCCATTCATGCCAATACTATAATCACCTTTAAAGTATCGATTCAGAAGTATCTTTCTTAATGTGTTACCCTAATAAGAAGGATAACAAAGAGTTACTGTTTTCTTTTCTAATAAAAGTGAAAAATGCCAGTATGTTAAATGCTTTAAAAGCATTTTGTGAATGATGTTGAATCATGGAAAAATTAACTTCATATCAGATAATATTTTCTGAGGCAAAAATTTACAAATGCATCCCAATAAAATAATAATTTTGCTTCTCATAATAAATAAAGAGGATGGGAGAAGCTTTTTGGAGGTGATGAACAGGTTTATGGCAGATATTATGCTGGTGGTTTCATAGTGTATACTTATCTCCAAACTCATCAAGTTGAAGACATTAAATATGTACAGCTTTTTGTATGCCAATTAATCATAACTCAATAAACAGTTTTAAATATAATTTTATTCTGTCAAAAATAAAAAAGAAGAGTGTGTTCAATAGAATGTACTAGAAAAATCACAAACGCTACAAATTTAAGATTGCTTCAAAAGCTATAGTTCCCAGAGTTGGGGAGTATCAGTCACCTAAAGAAGACTCAGAATAATAAACACCCTAAGAATTGGAAAGCAAAGGGCTTAGGTAGAGGAATTTAGTCAGAAGAGCAAGAAAAGAGTTCGGAACAGAGCAGGTACTCAAAAAATTAACCTTGATAAAACAGACTGAATTATATTTAAACTCCAAAATGCTTTACTCAGAAGACTGTGGGCAAAAGATAGTGTATTCCTTTACAAATCACATAATCCAAAACTTCCTAAGTCTTTAATTTTGTACTCATTACAGGACATTTTTACAATAATACATTTTGTAATATAATTGCTTGCATGTACATAAGAAACACAGATAACTCCAAATCTTCTCTTTTATTAGTGATTATTATTTTAATAAAAGGAGTGATTTAAAAGCATTATTTAAGGAATACTTGTTTAAACTATTTATATTAACACAACTTCAGAGGTGTTATTCCCACCTTGCAGGTAAGGTAAGGAAACTGTGGCCCAAGAGCTTAGGTAATTGGCTGCAGATCATGCAGCTAACAGGTGACACCTGACTCAACTCTTGGCTACAAAATCCAGCCATTTCTTCATGTCATGCTGCATCCAACATTCATGCTGTGACACGTAGCTCTCATTGCCCCTTCACTTTCTCATATTTTGGTTATTCTTTCTCAAGTTCTTTAGGTATTATCCTCAGTTCTTTTGTTGTGCTCCTCTTCTGTTTGGCAATTTCATCTTATCCTTAGTTACACAATCACTTCTGCTGGTCTGCCTGCCAAATGTGTTCCCTCCAGCCTGGACCTTGCTTTCCTAAGCTTCTCATTCTGTTTCCATTTAGATTTCCTTACCTGTGTCTTGAGGTTCCACTGGAAGCTCAAACTCAATTTTTCAGAACAGAATATTCCTTCTCTTTCAAATGTTTTCCCCTTAATTTTAATTTCTTTTAAGAAGATCACACCCATTCTCGTCATTTAAGCTCCAAATTTAAGGAATCACCTACTACCCCTCCACCCCAACTCGACAATGATTTGAAATGTCAAATGACATGAAATCCTTCCCGTTCTGCCTTTTCAGCTGTAGCTTCCAACAGTGCCTTCTTAAATTATATTTTAACCAAATTCAACCATGTGATCATTTCTCTCTCTCTCTCTTTTTTTTTTTGAGAAGAGTCTCGCTCTGTCGTCCAGGCTGGAGCGCGGTGGCGTGATCTCGGCTCACTGCAAGCTCCACCTCCCGGCTTCATGCCATTCTCCTGCCTCAGATTCCGGAGTAGCTGGGACTACAGGCGCCCACCACCACGCCTGGCTAATTTTTTTTGTATTTTTAGTAGAGACAGGGTTTCACCGTGTTAGCCAAGATGGTCTCGATCTCCTGACCTCATGATCCACCCGCCTTGGCCTCCCAAAGTGCTGGGATTACAGGCATGAGCCACTGCGCCTGCAGAGTCTTCCATGTCTTTCCTTTCCTCCTATTATATTAATTGCCTGAAATGATCTTCCTCCATCTTACTTATGAACCAGTCCTATCTTCCCTCTTCATTCTACAATATTCATTAGGTGCCAAATGTTTTAGGTACCAATTTAAGTCAATTAGATATAACCCTCCCCTCAAGGAGTTCACAATGAGATGAGCGCAATAATAGGAACATCTACCAAGTCTTCCGGAAGCATAAGAGGAGCCATTGACTGTGAGGAGGCTCTACATGGCACAGCCTGTCTACTAACTTATGTAATCATCAGACAGACCTGTCTGTTAACACTCAACTAACACGTCCTAAATGTCACAGTGCCAAGAATTTTTATTTATTTATTTATTTATTTTGAGATGGAGTCTCGCTCTCTTGCCCAGGCTGGAGTACAGTGGTGCAATCTCAGCTCACTGCAATCTCCACCTCCCTGGTTCAAGCAATTCCCCTGCCTCAGCCTCTTGAGTAGCTGGGATTACACCATGCCTGGCTAATTTTCTTTCTTTTTTTTTTTTTTTGTATTTTTAGTCGAGACTGGGTTTTACCATGTTGGCCAGACTGGTCTCAAACTCCTGACCTCAGGCAATCTGGCTGCCTCGGCCTCCCAAAGTGCCGGGATTACAGGCATGAGCCACCACGCCCGGCCAGTGCCAAGAATTCTAATAGACACTGGGAGTGTCTGGAGTTTGCTTATCCTTATAACAACTTTTATTTATTGGTACTTAAATTCTTAGAACACAGACATTTATTATTGCTTCCTGTTTCATGTTTTCTTTCTTTAAGACCTCTTCATAATGGGGTGTAAAAGTAAAAGTGGTAACTAGTCTCAAAAGAAATAGTGACGTGTAAGAACTTACTCTACCAAGGAATACAACTCTACTATCCACTATCCCTTATAAAACTTAAATACAGCACCTAGAAGAAACATAAGAAATGAAAATAGTCCTTACTTTTTCTTTTTTTAGGAGAAAGTCCTTTGAGTTGAATTAAATCCACCTGGGCAAAGGATATTTCTTCCAAAAGGAATGGAAAAACAAAATAAAGCATTTCTTTGGAGTCAACGCCTTTGAGCAATTACTGTGACTCTCATTATAGCAGAAGGAGATGCTATGAAAAATCTTTTAGACCCATAAACTACAGGGTTAAAGTTATAAGTTGGGGGGGAAAATGTGAGGTCATATTAACTGAAGCACTAATTTTTTTAAAGGGTAGCTCAGTTTGTTGTACTATTCATGGATCTCGCCTCTACAGACCACTCACTCTAACCCTGTAGGAGACAGTTGGCCCACCTGTAATAACTGAAGCTGACAATGTGAAAATCCGGGACTTTTTCTTGAAATTGCGCAAGTCAGCATCACTGTCTGAAAGGGAACCTGTTGTGAAGATTACTGAACCCTTATGATCTAGCTTCCCTTTTAGTCTCCGCAAGAATCTTTTATGTATTACTATTTCTACTATTATTTAGAGATAGGGTCTTGTTTTGTTGCCCAGGCTGGAGTACAGTGGCACAATCATAGCTCATTGCAACCTCACACTCCCGACCTCAAGCAATCCTCTCACCTTGGCCTCCCAAAGTTCTGGGATTATAGACATGAACCACTGCACCTGCCCCTGGGAGAGTCTTTTAATCACACCTTTTTGTCACACTGCTGCAAGAACCCAACCAAGAGATAAACCAATGAGTTTTTTTAAAGATGAAATAGAAAAACTTTTTTTACCATTTACTTTTTAAAATGCCCTTTATACTGCTAGAATAATAAAACTATTGAAAACCAGCCAAAGAGTAGAATTATGTCACACCAAATCAAAATAAGCATCATATTTGTGATTATTTTTAAATTCGCTTTGGCAGATAAAATCACAGTGCCTATCAGATTCATAGACATCAAAATCAAATGAGCAACACTCTTCTTATTCAATTATAGCCTCTTAGAAGCATCTATTTACTCACTATTTAATATTCAGACTGCCATAGAAAAGGCAGGGGCTTCCTGTTTTTCTGTTCTCAACTCTGAAGCCACTCTGCCTGGGTTTAAATCCCCTCTACACCATATACTAACTGGGGATCTTAAACAAGTTACTTCATCACTCTGGGCCTCATTCCCTCAATTGTCAAATGAAATTGTTAATATCTACTCTCAGAAGACTTCTGTGATAATTAAATAGTTAAAATTTACTGAAAGTACTTGGAACAGTTTTCAACACATAGTAAGTGCTATAAAAGTTGTGCATTGTTGATGTTATCCCTGCTAGTATTATCCGGATCATGGGAACAGTCTACAACTTGCAAAGTGCTTTTGTAGACACTTTCTTACGTTGTACCAAACATCCCCACAAAAGTGAAATAAATTTCTAGTATATTAAAAAAATGGCAAAAATAATAAATGATAAACTGCCCCCAAATCCTAGCTTTTTAACTATTAATCAGTCCTTGGAATTATATACTTATTAGCTAACATGGCAAAGTCACCCTAAAGCATGAACATACTTCACTATATAAAATGTACCCTTACAACTTCAACTAAAAGTTGAAACAAATTCTGTCTTGGTTCAAACTTCATAGTTTTGTGCTAAGACAAACTCTGGTGCTAAAAGTGATTAATGAATAGGTATAAACAGAACAAGATTCTGTTATGTCTTAGTAATCTTCATTTAAGAATAATAAAACTCAGATATTGCTACATCACAAGTTCAGCAGAAACTGACTTCTCTTGACAACTATCCAGTTCTGACTTAAGCGGTGAGAGACAAGTACTGTGTCCCAATTTGCTTTGGGGCATTCTTGATAGTTTACATTATCTGTGCAGTGGTGGTAGCTTAAATATGAGTCATTTCCCCAAATTACTTTAATTCAAAAGTAACTGTAGAACCATTGTCAGAAATTCTTGTGTCAGGGTTGCAAATAATTGTCTCAAGCTGTAATTGCCATGGCAGATATGAGGAAAGAACTAAAAGCACATTAGGCCATTGTGAAAAAAATTTCACCACAATTGAGAAGTTTGACTTCTGTGCTGGTTCTTCAAATCCAAAATGCATTCCTGATACGCCTCCCATGGAAGGTCTCTTTGCT